CCCCCGCCCCGCAGCCGGAGGGCCCCGCCCCCCACCTCTTGAGGCCGCGCCCCTCCCCTCCCCGAGCGCCAGCTGCGCGCCCCACCCTCCTGGGGAACCGCTGGTCTTGCCTGAATCTGGCTGGTGTGAAAGTTCTACGGAAAGTCCTTCGGTTTTACCTGTAGGTCTCTCATTTGTCATTTCCCTGTTGTGAGTTAAGCAGAACCCCGTTGGCCTTGGCGTGCCCTGTCGGCGAAAGTATAATATGCTTGTAATAAACATCAAACATCAGCAACAGAAAACCACTTTCTAGTAGGACAGTTTGGAAATGTGGCTCAAACTCAAATCCCAAATATATTAGCTTTGGCACATCTGACTGTGGCCTAGGAAACCCGCATCTGACTTGCCCTAAGAAAACCCGTGTGCAAACGTGTGTGCGCAGGGACATTTATTGTAGCTATTTGTGTCAGGGATCGCTGGAAGCACTGGGAAAATCCCACAAGCAGGGACAGTGTAATTAGCCACGGTAACTTCAAACACTCAGATACGTTGTGTCCAATAAGTTATAATTTATCGACAAGGAAGGAAAGTCGTACACTAAGACTTTAGTATATGGCTAATTGCCGAGGAAGGGGGCTTACACAGTGTGCATACAGCAGGATCTGTTCTTGTAAGTATATATGTGTGCATGTTCTATATAAAAATCCAGGAAAATATTATCTAGAAAGTGATTCTGAGTAATGTGGTTAAGGTTAATTTTCTCTTTCCCCCACTCTACATTCTTATTTTTTAAAAAAAGTAAATTCAAAATTAAAGAAAAAAATGGTCATGGCCTCACTCACACCCCTTCTCCATCATTACTGTGCTAGTTACCTGAGTCCACTTGAGTAAGAAATGCCAACGTAGGTCGGAGCCGCAAGTTTCGGGTGTGTCTGAGGGGATTTACTGGGGACACAGGACCCGCCCTCGTGCGCACCCGCCAAATGGCATAACAGGGAAGTGCACAAGGAAGACGGAAGAAGGAAACCCGAGAAGCTGAAGTTCTCACCTTCACCTTGAACTTCGTGGTTTCCTGGCTTTTGCCTCAAACCCTTTCGTCTCAGGGGACACGACACTGAGCTGTCGCCTTCACGGCCCCCTTTGGAGCCCTTCCACGCCCGGCTCTGGGGCGTCCCACTGTAAGCCAACGCTGTAAATTCTTATGTCAGCTCTGTGTCACCTCTGTCAAGTCTGTTTCTGTAGTGAGCACCGACTGCAGAATACGGGTACCGCTTGAAACTGTGTGGAGCTGACTATAGTTTCTCTAAACTTGTATTAACACATAGGTACATATACATTTGTTGCTTTTTATAAAAACTGTGGTCAGCTTTCTTGGTGGAGACATGAATCAAAAGCATCCGAGACTTGCCCTGTATTTTGTAATACGTTTGTATCACACTTTATTCAAGCATCCGTTCTTCTTTTAGAGAGAATCAGGTAATTTCCAGTTCCTTTCTTACATTTCCCACATGAAATTTTAAAAGCCCTTAAGCTAATGAATATTTGTTATTTTTATATTCATGGAAGAAGTAGCAAGTTATAATGTGGCAATGGATGGAAATTGCTTTAAATTGACCTCAAACCTTTTGAATTGAGCCAGAATGTACCTTGGTTTTACTACCTCTAAAATAAAACACAGTATTTTACATTGCACCTTTCTTTCTTTTTTTTTTTAATTTTATTTATTTATTTGAGAGAGAGAGAGAGAGAGAGAG